CGGAATGAATTAACATTACATGTTGCAAACCCCCCAAAAGAAACTTTTTTTGTGCTTTTGTCTACTCTATAATGTAGAATTCTTTCTGTTTTATATCCTAAAATAGAAGAATGGGTATTCTGTTACCTGAATGTTAGTTAGGCTCTAAACCTATCCCTGGATAAGTAATGGAAGATAGTTAAATGCTGTTTCTAGGATATGAATAGATACTTTTTAAAAAAATAATGTATCTTTGTCTCATTGATTGTACACAGTGAAAAAGATGGTACCTGTCAAAATGCAATGAAAGTTGTTTACTTTGTTTCTCTATTAGAGAACACGAGAAACATAACTTGAATAGCATAACTATATTAACCTGAATTAGCTCTTGTCACTCTTACTTTTTCACAGAAAATCATATTTTTAATTACTTGAAAATAGAAATAACAATAACACTTAGACTTATATTCCACTCCCTAGTGCTCTCTGAGTTATTTACAGATGTCAGCATATTATCTCCAACAATCTGGGTTCTCATTTTACCGATTTCGGAAGGATGGGTTATGGTTCTACCGACCTTGGAAGGATGAGTCAACTTTGAGCCTTTGATCAAACTCCTGGTTGTGGACAGATATAACCTGCAATACTGTATTCTAACCATAGCACTACCACGGCTCCAAGGTTTCAGCAAATCCTAATGTTCCCGTGAATCAGAATTGGGAAAGAATATCCACTGTCTGTTATTCTGCTATGTGAGGGATGGGAGTGGCTGGGTATCTAACCGGAGTGTGTGTGTGTGTGTGTGTGTGTGTGTGTGTGTGTGTGTGTGTGTGATATATATAAAACACTATATCGGTATATAAAACATCTAACATCTAATGATTTGTGAGTGGAAGAAAAGCACGATGTTATTCCATTGGTTCCCCCCCCCTCCCCCCCTTCACTTGCGTCAACATTTTATTCTGTTTCTGTTTTCAGGGAAGGGGGAGAGTGAGAGATTATTTAGCTGCATTACTTTATTATGCAATGGAGCAAAACTATCAGCTTGGACCTGCGCAGTGTATTAATATGAAGAAAAGGAACTTGAAAATACAAAAATTTTAAATGTTAAACTTACGAAGTGCCAATCAAAATATATTATTAAAATTTAAAATCAAATAAAAATTATGGTTATTTTTAAAAATAATCTTTTAGCTCTTAATTTGAGAGAGAGAGAGAGAGAGAAACAACATTTTCCAATTGCAACAGAATGCAGATAAAATAGTGCTAATTGCACCTATTTATTTCTGGCTCATCCCTGTCTTGTTAAACCTATGAAAGGAAGGATCATGTCTACGTGCACTCAAAAGTATGTTCTCAGGCCTGGGGTTGATGTGTTTGTGAATATAGTATTTTTTTACTGTTATGGTTGTTCTGTTGTCATGGCTTTTATGTTTTCTATTATGTTCTTAATTGTTCTAGTTGTATATTTCTTATGTTGCAAGCTACCCATTTTCTTTTTGGGAGACAATAATAAATAAATAAATAATAAACCTATAGTTAACTTTTTGAACTGCTAATCAAAGTTTTATGTTTTTAGCCCAAGTCAATCCACTTCAGATTGAAGGACTCTTGATTGAAGATTATAAATTAAACTATCATGCTGATTTAGTGTAGGTTGGAAGATAGATTTTTTTTAAAAAATTTGTCAAGAGTGACTGAGCAATATACCAAAATAAAAATGGTACTTTCTCCCATTGTCATATGATGGACATGTAACTCACACATCTCATACATTTTAATAATATTAGAATATTACAGTTGAATAAAATTTGGGCCTCTTTCTTATGTTACGTTGCAGATACTACTTTTTTGTCTATATGTTAGTTTCAGAATGGTAATTCCCAATTGGTTTGGTTCAGTGTTGAAATGCATCTTCAGGTTTCTGGCTGTAGTCCAGTAATCAAGCCAGTTTAAGAAAACCTTTTGTTTTTTGTTCTCTAAAAATAACACTAAAGAGTACACTACACTTATAACACTTTAATTGCAACTGTAATCAATGTCAAAACCCTTCCTGTTAGGACTGTTCATTAAGTTCTTAGAATATAAAATCAAACATATCTAGGAACCATTTTGCATGATTCATGGAATTTGTAATAGAATTTGTAATAGCTAGCTAGCTAATCCTTGGAATGAGATTGTACAGATCACTTGTGTACATGTGTGTGTGTGTGTGACTGGTCAGGGAATAGGACTACAAACCAGACTGGGAAATATAAAAATAATCTAGAAGGCATGACAAACCACTTTTCTACCATGTCAACAAAACTGCGTGGATACAGACTCACTAGATGTAGAGCACAACCTGAAGGCAGCTTTCCTTACCAAAGCACATGATTTGGTCATGCAGAGAAACTGCAATCAGTCCAAGATAATGTTGTAAAATTAGTTTTGCAGAAAATAGAAATGAAGGAGAAATATTGTCTAGGGTATGAATTAGGGTACATTGTTGAACAGAACTGCATGTAATAGTAAGCTAACTTGCTAACATAGTTGGGCCTTATGCATATATATGTAATGGACATAGATAAATACTTCAGATAAGTACTTCCTAAGGAGGAGGCTGCATATACAGGTAATCTCGATTTACAACCACAATTGAGCCCAAAATTTCTGTTGTGAGATAGTTGTTAAGTGGGTTTTGCCCCACTTTATTATGACCTTTCTTGCCACAGTTATGTGAATCACAGCAGTTGTTAAGTTAGTAACAGAGTTATAAAATGAATCTGGCTTCCCCATTGACTTTGCTTGTCAGAAGGTCGCAAAAAGTGATGACATGACCTCAGAACTCTGCAACCATCATAAATATGAGCCAGTTGCCAAGTGGTTGAATTTTGATCATATGAACCATGGGATGCCTCAACAATTATAAGTGTGAAAAATGATCACTTTTCAGTGCCACTGTAACTTTGAACGGTCACTAAATGTAAGATTTGTAAGTCAAGAACTATCTGTATGTATTGCCTTCTAGAGAACAATGGCAGGTAGATAATAGTATTTCCAGCAGACAGGAAGACTAAATTAATTTCAATCTGTGGACTAAAAGTGAGGAAAATGGAACTCAGAGCTCCTTTTTTGTGCTACCTCTGTGTGTAATGTATTCTGGCCCCATTCTCCAATGCAGTTCAGCTTTGGAAGAGATACTTTACTTCTTCCTTTTTATTTGTAATTTCTCCCATTTTATGTTGAAGAATTCTAACATCACAATTTGGGATTTGACAGATAATGGATAATAGTTTAATTCTGTATTATCTCCTGTATTTCATGTTTAGCACAAAGTATTGGTTTTTTTTTTCTCAAATCAGAGTCTGACATAATATTTTGGTAGGATAAAATTACTTATTCATAGCTTCCAATGCATGATTGATTATGAATTTTGTATTTCAGTTTCTTAATGAAGCTGGAAATTCAGTTGAAAATTGAGAATTCAGTTATATATGTAGGAAGAGCAGATCTAGTTCATAGAAGTTAAAATAGGTTTAAAAGGTGCTCTGCATGAAATTGATTTACAATATAGGGAAAATAAGAATAAAATGCGTTTCTCTGTTCGGTACTAAATGAAATCAGTTCTACAAGTAAAAACACTGCAGATTTGTCTAATCTTTATTCTGTTCTTATTTAAAGAATACTAGTAAATATAATTTCTAGTACATTTTTGAAGTAATACAATGATATTGTCTTAATCGGTTGTACATACTGTATACTTGCATCAAAAATTAACTTAAGTCTTCAAAGAATTCTAAAGAATTTTTATAGGGGTGCTATGCTTGTGAAAAAAAGAGAGTATTTTGTCTTTAAATTGCTATTTTTGTTTGGGCATAGTTTTGTGGATTGGTGTCCATGTTACCAGTTCCATGGGATGTGTCCTGAGATGATTTATGCACATGCAAGCATCTTGTTGTGGCCTGTTGACCGCCGGCCCCTCCAGCAGCCAAATTAGAGGAGGAAGAGGAGGCTTGAGAGCCAGGGACAGCATCAAGGCAACCTGTGAGCTCTGAGGGAGAAGAGGGAATGGAGCTGGCAGAGAGAGAGACAGAGGCGAAACCTGGACCATCTATAAGCCCTCAGATGGAGAGTCAACAGCCCCCAGGTCTGGATGTGGTTGATGAGGAAGAGAAGGAATAGCTGGGTCCAGTGCCTGACGCATGGATGCGCAGAAGGCAGAGGAGAGGAGAGCAGTGGAAATCCATGGGTCGTTCCTTGGAAAAGAAGAGCCACCGCTGCTAGCAAAGTCCCACCCTAGCTCTGGGGATAAAAGGCAGGGGGTGGAGATGAATAGATGTGGCAGACAACTATTAATCTCCTGGACAGACAGACTTGTTAGCCTGGCGGGGGCTGCTGGCGCTCCTAATAAAGGAATCTGAGTGAACTTCAGAGGGTTTGTTGTGTTTAGGGAGCTGGATCAGAACACATCTATCCATAGGTATAACAGTGATATCAAAGGAAATAAATTAGAAAAAATGGCTTTATCATGATACTTTTACAAGATGTTATCATAAAGTAATATTTATAATCTGATGTTGATAATATACTTGTACTGAAGTGTAATAACAAGGCACAAGTGAGAGAAATGAACATTGATTAAGTTAATTCAACTGTTCCTCACTGTATTTTGTCATTTCTTCCATTGTTAAAGAATAACTATCTTGAACAATATGTATTTTCAAGATGTTGGAGTCCAACAGGGCAAGCATAAAGGAATTCAGTATAAAAACAACTTCCTTTAAATGAATTGTCCTGCTTACTGTAAGGATATGTCAACTTTTTGGGAAAAAACGGGTAGCAGGATAATTCCTTATTAATGTAGTTTAATATAGAGAAGTTGATTTTGTGATGAGTTCTAGAAAGAATCTAGTTTAAATAGCTATCACAAACCTCAAACTATGCTTTTAGTGCTTACTTGGGTTCATATCTGGGGACCAGTGCTAGTTTATACATATTTTCTATAATTTTTCTCTCTTTTTCCCCCCCTCTGTTGGTAGGATCCTTCCGTTACACAAGTGACTAGAAATGTTCCACCAGGATTAGATGAGTACAACCCTTTCTCAGACTCCAGAACGGTAAGCATTTTTATCTTTCTTTTAGATGGCATTTTTAATTTGCAAAATTTGTATGTGCTACTATGACTTCATTATATTTTCAGAGACCAAACCCTATTTGTATTTTAATAAATAATGTTTGAAGCAGGCTATTTTAAAAACAAAGTGTAATCTTAAGTCTGATGGGATATAATACAACTACCTTGTAAAGTTTAGCAGATTAGACATCACTAGTATTTCCATACATAGTTTATGAAATGCATAAAATATCCAGCAAATTATAGTAATGCTTCACATATATCTTGTGGTCCTGTATAATGTAAGATATCTTCATTGGTCTCTGAGGAGTGTGTCAAAAATAATTTTGATTTTTTTTTTTTTTTAATTTACTAGCCACCACCAGGAAATGTCAAAATTCCTAATGTGCCCAGTACACAACCTGCTATAATGAAACCAACTGAGGAACCACCCGCTTATACTCAAATTGCAAAGGTATATTTGGAATTATTTATAACAGAATCTCAGTAATGAAAGTTAACGTTTTTATTCAGACCATTTTTACTGCTTATTTCTGCATTTATTTTTCCGTAGGAGCATGCCTTGGCCCAGGCTGAACTGCTTAAGCGACAGGAAGAATTAGAGCGAAAAGCAGCTGAACTAGATCGCAGGGAAAGAGAGATGCAGAGTCTCAATCAGCAGGGAGGTATGTTGATGTCTCTTAAGACAGTGTGCTGAGGTGATCCTCAAAGCTGATATTGCAATGGAAAAAAATAATTTAGTGCTAGCAGTTTATTGTCTGAAATTTGTCAATCTTTTTACAGTAGGTGGCAGCACCTAGCCAGTCTTGACTGATCATGGAAAAACTAGAATATACTAATAATAATTAAGTAGAGACCCATGGGGAAATTTTCGGACTGTAGGCCAGGCTTAAAAAGCAAAACTGCCCTAAATCGCTTTCACTCTAGTTGCCAAGAAAACAGTGTGGACCTGGAAGTGAACTGAATTTGTGGAAGACTTCATTGGTCTTCTCCTAGAAGTGCAAGTGACAGAGGACACTTTCAGACACCTGATGCTGGATTACTCATAAGGAGATTGTTTTCTACCAGTTTTGAACTACTGTTCTTCACATCAGTCATTTCCCTGGGTGTAGAAATAATTGTCAAGAGAGACAAAAGAACTTCCTGATTTAAATAATTGGGGAAAAGCCATTGTTACAACATTTTCAGCATTTAGATACTTCAGTTTTATTTTACTTAAAGAACTTACTGTAATGATTCGGTCTAGGCATTAGAATTTTGTGTAATTTAAGAAGTGAATTATTTTAATTTTTTAATTACATTGTTTTCACAATTAAGCATATATAAGCATAAGCATATATGATTTTTTCCACCATCACTTTCTGGGAGAACCTATAAGAGATAAATACAAAGGCATAGCAAGCCCACTGCTAGTAACATTTTTCTCATACCCCAATTCATATACAACACTAATTGTGACATAGGAGACCATTTTGGTGAGATTAACGGTGTGTAGAGCGAGTTAGCTTGTCTTTTGAGTTCCAACGCAGTAATTAGACTGAAGAAAGCTTCCATTGGCAGTAATGGCTTTTCTAAAATGAAATTGCCGTGTAGAGTTGAAGCTACAGACTGGAGATTCCCCCTACTTTATCTGAAGTCTCTTTTAATGAATGCAGTTTCAAGTGAAAATAAATAATGCCTCACTTCTGTTAATTCAGGGGTACGATGTTCATAGGATTTCAAAACTTTTTTCAGCTAGTTACCATTATTTATTGGAAATTAATCGTATGTGTGTTTGTATGTGCACGTTGTTGGAATGCAATCTGCTTAATCAGGAGACTTTTCATAAACTTTTCTTCAGAAATTATAAAATGAAACATGTAAAGTGACCCTTAATGTGTATCAAAGCATTTGCTTTTTGCTGTTGCAGGAAGAAAGAACAATTGGCCTCCATTGCCAGGAAATTTCCCAGTGGGCCCTTGTTTTTACCAGGATTTTTCAGTAGACATCCCTGTAGAGTTCCAGAAAACAGTAAAGATTATGTACTATTTGTGGATGTGTAAGTAATACCTATGGAACATATTTTAGAATTTTGAATTATATTTAGGTAATATTTCAATGACAATATTTTCATAAGCAAAATTAATTTATTGAAAATTAAGCTTGTGTAATTCAATCAGTATTTTGCTACCTGTCTAGCATAACCTTTTATGAATATCCACATAGGACCAGAAGACCTTGGAAGGGCCTGGAACTAGTTGTACTTCATAGTTTCAAGGAATAGATATATTGCAAAATCAAATTTGGGTCGGTCACCGGGACCAGAGATTTACTCTTCTGAGATTTCAGACTCATGCTGAAGCCCATCTTCAGGGAACTTCTCTCTACTGGAATACGTGCTTTGGGTTGTTCTGTGAGTTGTGTTTATATGGTGCCTTCCTATTGGATGATTGGTATGTTGATGGCTGGTGATTGGCTGTCGTTTCCTTGAGCTATCAAGCCCTCGGCTCCTAAATATTTGATAAGTGGTAAATCAGCACTCCTGTTAACTGACAACAGGCCCATTTCCCAGGCTTTAATCATTTCCCTGGCTATCTTTGTATCTGCATGGCCAATGATCTTAGTAGCTGCAAAATTAAATGTATGTCCTTGTTCATTGCAGTGTGAGGCTACCAATGAGTTTGGTCTCCTCTCTGACTGCTCAGTTGCAATCTGGTGGTTAGAATCTTCCCTGTTTGTCTTACATAGTCAGAAGATGAATCTCCAGCATGAGCTCGGAAGAGTAAATCTCTGGTCCTGGTGACCGACCCAAATTCGATTTTGCATCATTATTCTAGGACATGTATATTTGCCTTCATTCATAACAGATATATTGTACAGGGATACTTCATCTGCAAGCAAAGAGCCCTATTATTTGCAAAGGCCCATGAAGGATAGTACCTCAGATATACAGGTATTAGAGATTAAATGCATTTATTTTACTCCTGGGAACTTTCTGTTTAGTTATTTATTTATTATATTTGCTGCCTACGTCACCATGGGGCTACTCTAAGTGACTTACAACAATAAAAAGGAAAAAAATGAAGAATGTAAACAGAATTAAAATAATAGAACAATAAAACAAACTGTGAAAAAGAACACAGTGAGAATATATCAGTATGATACTTTTGCTTGAGTTTAAAAAGGAAAGTAATTTTTATTTATTCTTTATGATTCCTGAGAAATATTTCTAGAAACATCAGGGATGATTGTTTTCATTTTCTTTAGGATGACAGTCCTTCCTTAAATAGGAATCCTATTTAAAGTAATGTAAAGTCTCCTTTCTATTTAACTAGTAATTTAGGAATAAATTCAATTAAAACGGCCTTTAATTAAGTAGGAAACAGTTTCCCTAAAATATCTTCTTAATTTATTCCTATAGAAATTCTGTTTTCCATGATAACAAGTTTTGCATAACAGCAGGTAAATAAAAAGCAATGTTGCCTTTCTTCCGTTTTCTTTTATTCCCATATTTCTTGTATTATCATAAAAATATCAATTTGTTCCTCTTTTCTTCCTGGAATAGTTCATATGAATTATTATTGAATACCCATAGACTAGCAGATATTTGACTCAGTTGGCACAAAAATATGGCCCTGATATAGCAGACTTTTTCCAGCTTTGTAAGCATGCTAGGAAACAATAAAAAGATGGATAACTGGTAATGTATTCCCAGATACCTCCTACTTATGGCATTTTTCACATGAGGCAACAAGGCTATCAACAGTCATTAGCTAGATTTAAGATGCTCATGAAAAAGTTTAAGTATAGTTTATCAATAAAATACATTTGCATTTTCGTTGTACTTAATACTCACTTTGCTCACTTATATTAATAACTATTAATGAACATTACTATATACTTATTTTTGTTACTTAATTTATATTCTCCAATTTCCATATGGCAAAGCATCTTCTGATATTACTGTGTTTTAAAATATACAAATGGGTTTGTGGCAGTTGAAGCTTGGTTAACTGTGATTTAATAGAGTTCATGGAATTAGGCTATATTATGACATGCTATACGCATGGGCCCTTGACAGTAAATTAAATGGACTAAAATCTAAAGAAAGATTTACTTACGTTTTTGGCACTATAAGAGCTGCAGTGGTGCAGTGGTTATAATGCAGTACTGCAGGCTACATCTGCCAGCTGCCTGCAATTTGGTAGTTCGAATCTCACCAGGCTCAAGGTTGAACCAGCCTTCATCCTTCCAAGGTGGGTAAAATGAGGACCCAGATTTTTGGGGGTAATATGCTGACTCTAAACCGCTTAGAGAGGGCTGTAAAACATTGTAAAGTCTAAATGCTATTGCTATAACATGAGTGAGGGATATTGATTTTAAGCCCTTTGCAAGGTGACATTTTCAGACATAAACACACTGTCAGGGTTCCAAGTAACACCCCCAACCAAGTAAGACTCAGAGGCAGGCAATTCTTCAAAGATCCATTTTATTAGAGATATCATATTGGCATCTGTGTTGTGACCTCGGCTTCCTGAGTCGTGTGAGTCAATACACAAGTAGTCCCAAAAACCTCTTCTATTGCAACAACTGTGAATTATGTTCATTCACAGCTGAGTCCCAATTAGTTGCAAAAGGTCCTTCGGGACAAGTCTTTCGGGATAATCACCAACCTTTATCTCCCTTGACACGCTGCCAAAGACCTACTTGGCAAAGCCACACGGAGTCCAGAATCAAACAGAGATGCCAACTGGGAACAGAATTAACAACGTTGCTTTCCTGCAAAGGGCCCACGTGCCTTTGCTCCTCTTTTAAGCCTTATGGGGTGGGGAATCATCTCCAGGTCTTACTCCTGAGTTGTCCCTTTTGTTTTAATTGTTCTTGCCTTCTGGCAACTCTGCACATGCGCGCACTAGCAACAGGCTCCTCCTGTTCCTCTGCTTCTGATGTCTGACTCTGGAGGCTCCGGAGTCCTTGCATAACTCCCAGATGGCCCTGGCACCATCTCTGCCTTCGACGCAAAGCTCTCGTCTGAGCCTTCCCCAGATTCCAGAACTGGCCCATGTTCCTCTCCAGCCTCTTCATTGTCCGACTCCTCGGCCAGCTCTGCAGGCTGCTGGCAGACCACAACCATTTGGGAAAACCCGCATTTGAAAGCTCCTGGGTTTTACCCACCCAAAGGAAAGTAAAAGTCCCTTCCTCTGCACCCACAAGTTCATCACATGGTCCAATCAATCGACTGTCCTAACTGGAGATGTCTCCCAGTCACGCCTCTCCAGGTGCAGGCTGAACGTTCTTGACTCTCAGAGAAAAGAATGTTGTTATGGCTAAATAACTCTACCAACTCCATGCAACTCCCCTCCCACTTTCCCACAGCACTAGGTGTGGCAGCCCTGAAGATCCAAAGAAAAAGATGGCCTCCAGGGCTGACAGGCTGCCTCTCCCTCAACCGATGATTGTGTCCTGCAATGAGAGGAATGTAGGAGGTTAATACAGTCAGTCCCTAACCATCTCCCTTAGCAGAAGTGGCAGGAGGGGGGGCTGCACTGGCTTGTTCTCAGTGGCGGGCTGGGGGGGCACTTCATTGACACTCTTACGGTTTCTTGCGCACGCATGCACACCAGCCAGCTGGTCTTTGCGCACGCCAAAAACTGGAAGACAAGGCTGCTCTTTCGGTTACCCGCACGCGCGCTCCTGTTTCGGCATTCAGTTCCAAAAAAGTTTGCCGACACTGATATAGGCCAAGGTTGTAGAACATGTAGCCTGCCAGTTGTTAAATTACAAGTCTTAGCAGTTTCAGCCATCAATAAAGGATGATGAAAATATAGTTCACCAACATTGTAAGCATATACTGTAGAATGTTTCCCATCATTAATGTAGCATACTGCCACCATTGTAAGTAATAACAGATACACAAACTGTTACTACAGTAAATTGTAGTAACCTGTGGGACAAGAGCAGGCTGAGCTGAAAAATGGGGTTAAATGTACCATCAGTTTAGAATCATTACATTGCCACAGGAGACCCAAGTCCAGCCCCTGTGAATTCCATTGACCTTTTTTTAATTCCAATTTAGGTAGCAATAATAAACTCTTCTGTTTTGAACTCAATGAATGCTCCTGATTATTTGCATCTGACTATTTCAAGATTTTCCTTCTACAAATTTGAAATGTTCCGTGCCGTATATGCAATATATATGTCAAAGCCTAACCAGAATCCTGTAACAATTTTGTGCTTAATGTAGAATTCTACCATCAAGATTTCTAAATTCATACATGAAAACTTTCGTATAAAGTATATGTACAAATGATCACAATTTTTTTATGTAACTTAACTTTTTTTAACTAATAAGAACTTGCAAATGACTTAAGCAGTATATAATTTGATATAAGTAATTGTAGGGTATTGTGCTATTCCTGTATGTATTTACTGGCCCAGCTTTCAGATAATTAAATAGTATCTACAAAAATCTGTACATCCTGTAATTATTGTAGAAACATCAGCTGCTAAAGCAAGTATCGCTGCTTGCTTCTGTAACCGGGAAAGTTGGCAATATATAAGGTTAATGTTTATTTTAGAAGTAAAAACTTTACTCTTTATCATATTTTCACAAACACATAAATTGTTATAATCCAGGACTGATATTGAAAAGATCAAGTTTTATTTCAGTCTTTTTTTTTTCTTCAAAACTATATAATTGGAACGATTATAAGTATAAAATTTGGCAGTTATGAATAAATGCAGATTGGTCAGGATGTTAATCATTTATAGTGGTTAAGATAATTACAGATAGTCCTCATCTTACGACCCCAATTGAACCCAAAATTTCCATTGCTGAACAACACAGTTGTTAAGTAAGTTTTGCCATATTTTATGACTTTTCCTGCCACCGTTGTTAAGCGAATCTAGCTTCCCCGTTGACTTTACTTACCAGAAAATGGCAAAAGCTGATCACATGACCTTAGGACTGCAACTGTCATAAATATGAGCCAATTGTCAAGTATCTGAATTTCGATCACATGACCACAGGGATGCTGTAGTGGTCGTAAATGTGAAAAATGGTCAAAGGTCACTTCATTTTTTGTGCTGTTGCAACTTCTAACGGTCACTAAGCGAATGGTTGCAAGTCAAGGACTACCTGTACTGAAAAATATTCTCACCATCAATATTTCTAATTGGTATTATTTACATATGCAGAGATTCTAAGCAGGCACCCTTTCTAAAAATGCTGTATGCTAGAGCTCTTCCCCCTGAAAAACATAATTGAGTGATATGGACGAATAAAAAGAGGCTATTGTTAAGGGAATTGCCATTAAAACTCTGCTACCCTAAAACAGAAAGTTGAGTGGGAATAGCATCCATTGTTCTTTAAAATAATTTCTGAGGCTGATAGAAGCTGAGTATGTTACTGTAGTACTTTCCTTTGATATAGGAAGTAATTGGCCATGTTTTTCATCTGGCAACACACACAGTAGTGGCCAAAATTGTGGAAATCTTTTGGGAAAACTGTATTTTCTAAAATTAGTTATAACAGCACTTTTTTTTTGAGTAGTACCATAAAATTATATATCAATGAAAAGATAATTTAATCAAGAATGTAATGCAATAACTTTTATGAAGGATTTGCTATTAGAATAGCAGTTATAAAGAAGAAAAGTGAAACGAGATATACAAAAATTATCACCATGGAAAAAACGAGATATACAAAAATTATCACCATGTCAGTTAATACTTGGGTAATCTTTAGCATGGATTATGGCCTTACAACGTTTTCCCATGGAGTGAACCAAGTCTTTTAGTTCTGCAGCTGTTATAATGTAAAACCAAGATTAAATGATTGCTTCTATTAATTGGGTTTTATTGCTAGGTTGCCTCTGACTAACAAGTTTCTTTAGTCGGCTCCATAAATTTTCAATTGGGTTAAGGTCCCAGGCCATTCCAGCAGTGAAATATAATTATCTTGAAACTCCAAAAAAAAGTAGTGTCATTAGCCATCAAACCTCAAAAATACACTTTTTCCAAAAGGTTTCCATAATTTTGGCCACTACTGTATATACTGTGAACCATAATGCATATAGAATACTATAGGAGAGAATCCAGAATTGGATTTTTAGGGATAGCTCCTTTCTATGAGTTTCTAATTTAGTGAGCATTTCTGATACAATGGAGATTGCTATCTCCTTCTGCAGCTGTAGCTGATCCCCTCCAAAAATTTGCTCCATAGCATAGGAGTAACAACACTAGGAATTATATGGATAGGGGGGAAAATTTCACATCCTTCAAGTGTTGCTAACAATGTTTTGAACAGAACACTACTCAAAGGACCTGACTGCTAGGTGAAGAAAGTTTACACCCAACCCAGAGTATGCTAGGTGTACTATATGCTGTTTGAGGTAGCATATCAGATATTTCTGCTCTGACTTATTCCCTTATGTAAGGGTTAAAAACCTGTGGCCTTCCAGATACATCTGAGTTACAATATAGCATAGTTTCATGAAGGACTACAGATTTCATTTTCTTTTGGAGAAGCAGGTTTTATCTCAGTATCTCTGGTCCAAGCTTCCATGTCGATATTATCGATTTTCAAATTCCTCCTTCTGTCCGGATTTCCTATAAAGCATGTGAAGCTTATCTGAAATCACAGGCTCCTCTAATACAGAGGTCTTCAAATTTAGCAGCTTTAGACTTGTGGACTTCAACTCCCAGAATTCTCCAGTCAGCTATGCTATGTTATGCTGGCTGGAGAATTCTGGGAGTTAAAGTCCACTAGTCTTAAAGCTGCCAAGTTTGAAGACCTCTGCTCTAATAGTCTCGCTTAAGGGATTAAGAGGTGGTATAATAGAATATTCCTCTTTCCTTTCCATGCAACCCTTTGTTGGTGATTCCTTGCTAATGCATATTATGCAATTAGATTTAATAGAGAGCAATTTCCTTTTGAATAGTTGTTGGAAGAATGCTTAACAATAACTTTTTAACATAGAATAGTGAAAAAAATTCATGCAATTGATTACAATGACAAAATTCTGATTGATGAAGGTGGCTTATTCAGTTTGATATATTGCTCTGTTATTAGTTATAGAAACATAGAAACTCAATTTTAACTTCTCTTCTCACAGTTCATGCAGTGACATTATTTCTTAATATTTTTGGATGTCTGGCCTGGTTTTGCCTTCAGCCCAGGCGAGGAGTTGACTTTGGACTGAGTATTCTCTGGTTCTTGCTTTTTACTCCATGTTCATTTGTCTGCTGGTACAGACCACTTTATGGAGCTTTCAGGTAAAGTATTATCTAATTTGTAATTTGTGATATTAAAAAAATATATAATTGATTTTTTCAGTTAATTAAAAAAACAAATGGTCCTTAAATTTTGACCACAATTGATCCCAAAATTTCTATTGTTTTGCTCCATTTTACAACCTTTCTTGCCATAGTTGTTATATGAATCACTGCAGTTAAATTAGTAACACAGTTGTTAAGTGAATCTGGCTTCCCACATTGTCTTTGCTTTTTAAAACACTGCAGAAGGTGATTCCATGACTCTGGGACCCTGCAACTGTCATAAAAATGAGCCAGTTGCCAAGTGTCCAAATTTTCATCACGTGACTATGGGGATGTTGCAGTGGTCATAGGTGTGAAAAAAGGTTATAAGTCACTTTTTCAGTGCCATTAAATAGTCATTAAATGAATTGTTGTAAGTCGAGGACTACTTGTACATGTAGCTAAATGTATAGCTACATTTAGATGGCTATAAAAATATAGCTATCTAAAGTATCATTTAACTCAGGCTTTACAATTTAGTATCAATAATAATCAAAGTTGAATTTTTGGTTTCTTTTGTAATATTTTGGATGTACAGTTAATCTTCAATTTATGACCATAATACCCGTGTTTCCCCAAAAATAAAACCGGGTCTTATATTGATTTTTACACCAAGAAACGCAAGAGGGCTTATTTTTTGGTTAGGTCTTATTTTGGGGGCAATACGGTACTAAATGTGCCCACCTGGCTGGTGATCTTAACGGGGGCATTTTTTGGGTAGGTTTTATATTATGAGCATCCTGAAAAATCATGCTAGGGCTTATTTTCTGGTTGGTCTTACTTTTGGGAAAACATATCCATTGTGGTCATTATGACATGTGTAAAGCAAATCATCACATGACCTGCCTAATTTTATGACTCTTTGTAGTGGTCATTAAGTGAATCCATTGTTTACTATAGGATGTGTTTGCTGAAAACTGGAAGTAAATCCTGGTTTTTGGCAAAAACATAAATTGTGATCATATGACTGTGGGATACCGCAAATGGCTGTAAATGTGGAACAAACTGCTCAGGATCCAAAATGCCATTGGGGGGGGGAGGGGAGGTTCAGAACTTTGGGTTGGGACTCTGTCATAATTCCAAACAATTGCTAAGCAACTACTTGTAATTTGAGGAGTGTCTGTATTTGCTTAATCAGCAGTGTACTTGGAAGGGATCCCAAGCTCCTTACAACAATGGTAGACTTGAAATCATACATGAAGTTGATACCATGCAGTTACCAGAGAGTGTCAGTTGGCACAGCAGTTGGTCTGTCATGCTTCCTCACAGATCATTGTTGAGGAGAACAATATATCTTTTGAAGTAACTCTGGGCTGCAGTATAATAATATAGTAGAGCATATAGGGAGAAGCTATTCAAGACATAAAAGGACCTATGCAGAACTACTGAGAATCTAAGCTGGTGTACCACTGAATTATATTTCTTCTAAAATCTTCTTTTTGTGCATTTCTATAAAATGAAGTAATATTCAACTTTCCTTGGAATGTTAGCTGGGCAAGAAAATGAATTGCTGACTTAAATTACAAGGTTTGTCTTTGATTCAGTAAGAAAATGAGAGATGGAAAAATTGCTAGTGGACATCTTAATGAATAAAATGTCAATATAGTGTGAAACATAGTTTCCTGTACTTCTTTTGCAATATTTGTTAAGCTTATTTCGTAGTTGCTTTGTTTGCTTTTAACTACTGTGTTTTGCATCTGATGTTTAACCTTCTGGTAGTGTTTATTGTAATTGGTCAGTTTGGTAAGAATGCTTCTGAAAGTTCCGATTTCCAGTGGTTTTATACAGTCATAAAACAGAATTTATATACAAAAGAAATGTTTGAAGTGTTTTCACTCACTTGTTCTGTTAACCTTATGATAGACTCGCTATTTTGTTTGTCAAGTATTATGAGAATATCTCATTTTTTTCCTTTCCTTCTCTTCCAGGAGCGATAGCTCCTTCAGGTTCTTTGTTTTCTTCTTTGTATACATTTGTCAATTTGCTGTGCATGTCCTTCAAGCTGTGGGATTCCAAGGTTGGGGGAACTGGTAAGTGTCCTGTTGTATTATTCTTTGGTAAATGTATGTAGCAATAGCACTTAGGCTTGTATACTGCTTCACAGTGTTTTACAGCCCTCTCTAAGCAGTTTATAAGAGTCAGCATATTGTCCCCAACAATCTGGGTCCTCATTTTACCAACCTTGGAAGGAAGGAGGAAAGACTGAGTCAGCCTTGAGCTGGTGAGATTTGAACTGCCAAAGTGCTGGCAGTCAGCAGAAGTCAGCCTGCAGTACTGCATTATAACTACTGTGCCACCACGTCTCATGTAGTGAGAGTGATAGCTTGCCATTTTTTGCAAAGGTATTATGACCCATTTCTTTTTAAATCTTTTACAAAGTTAAACATCAGGTGTTTGCAATAATAAGGTATTATTGGAGTCAGTAGGCAAGTGGTGTCAGGAATCCGGGCATGCCAAGAGATAGAATGGGTATCAGGCCAGGCCATTGGCTAGTTGCTGCTTACTTGCAAGGAGGATGTGTATTGAAGGAATAACACATGCCTGCTATCCTTGTCATGTGTGCTGATGGAGGCTTCTCATTTGCCCAGATTATTAGAAACGAGAAAACTGCACTGATGGGTAGGGGGTGAGGACATCCTTTAGTTTAATTTTGCAGGGAGCCCAGTTCAGAATTAGGTAAACTGTTGTCTCATAGCAGTCAGAGAGCAGCCTTTACTGCTGGTTTAAATTGTACCTTCTTGTGCAGAAGTGGGGGACCGTTGACCAAATGTTGTTGAACCACAGTTTCCAACAATCCTAATTCCAGTATGCTGAATTGAGACTGATAGGAGCTGTGGTTCAACATTTTGAAGGTGACGTGTTCTTTTACCTTGCTGATTTCTGCCAGTCCTAATTCAAATTCATTCTGCCTGGATTGCAGTATTTGTTCTATTCTTTTTTTCTTTATATATATCTAATTCAGTCCATATATTGTAGGTTTGCTGCAGCAAACTGAATGCTGGACTAATATTAAAAGAATAGCTTTCTTAATCTATGCTCATATTTTTAAGTGAAAATGTTGTGGCCTATTATTGGATTAATAAAAAAGGAGAATATGTCTTTATAATTTTATTGTATATATGGCCAATCTAGGCTTCATTAACATCCTAGCATCTGGAAAAAAAACCCAGATCCACAAGGCCTCAAAATTCATTAAAAGTTAAAAAGACAAATTAATTGTTTTAGAATTTTAAACCACCCAGTCACTTGGTTGAGTTATGGTATGCTATACCACATGCTGTAAATAATTTAGCTTTGTTTCCTACCCATAAGTATATGGTTGCTTTTCAGTTTAAATAAAACTTCAAGAATTCTTCCTTATGGCATAAAATTTGATGTGATTAATGGTCCATATTTTCAAGTGGTATCTAAATCAGGAAAGGAAAGCTTAACTGAGTAGTTGGTGTCATTTAAATAGCAACTTTCACTATGCTTGCATGAGATATACTTTATTAAGTGTAATTAATATAGACAATTTACAAAATCCAATAAAATGGTAAAAGAATTCAGGACTGTTTACTGTCCTCCCATCCCTCAAAAAAACAAACAAACAAACAAACCTGAAGTATTTGTGTTCTCTTAGGAGTTGGTTTTTAAAATATGCTTTTAAGAACTTCCTCTGTAATCCATAGACGAAAAATGATATTTTCCTTTAAAACATAGTGATGGAGGAGAAAATAGCCATACTTCTTTAACGAGTATTATAGATACGTTTTTAGAGCTCTCTATATTTTCTTTAGTGGATGGATTTCATCTCTCACTGGACTTAACCAGAGCATTCCAGTAGGCATTATGATGATAGTCATAGCAGCACTTTTTACAGCTTCTGCTGTCATCTCACTAATTATGTTTAAAAAGGTAAGTGGTTTTTTTTTCATCCAGAAAAATTGAATTTTTAAAACATGTTTTAATCAATCCAACTGATTATAGTTGTAAAAATAAATAACTACACTCAGGTGGGTTGACTAAATTCTTTCTTGGTACTATTCATATTTGGTATACCATATTTAGAAATTAACTAAATAAAATAGATTTCTTTCATTGTTAAATTTAAAATATCAGTAATAGCAAATTAGGTTGATTTAGAGCTTGTTTTATTTTAAGATCTCTTGTGAAGAGAACCCATTATGAGCTAAAGGATTTTTTCAAAAGATTATACACAACAACAAAAAAATACTTTTGTTCTTTCCTGCAGTATTTCTTTAAAAATTCTGCATTTTAATATTTAGAAACCAGATGTGTTACATCCAGTTTTAAAAGTGTGAACTCTTGCCATAGGAGTTTTCCTATCCATCCCCTCTCTGTAGTCTTCATCATTCTGGTCAGGATTGTGGATTTGTTCATTTCCGCATGCTTTTATTTACTGTTTCAAAATATGATAAGTGGAAAAATATTAACTAATGTTTAATTGAAGAAATAACTGCAGTAATAACCTACATGTGAGAACAAATAGATATGGAAAGAAATAACAGAATAGGATTAAAATATCACATTTCATTCGGAGGAATAAAAACCCCTTGGCAAGACTCAAAAGTTGAACATTAAATCATAAACTTTCTGAAGAATCTTGAGACCACAAAAATGGACACCTCAATAAGGTAAGCAATATATATGTCCTGTTTCTAGTTTCAAATGGACATGCACATATACAGCTGCTATGGTAATTAGCAGTTTACTTAAAGTCAGGAAGATAACAGCAGACAACAAATGCAAATATGAACAGAGTCTCTGAAAATGGTTGCTTTTAAAAGCAACATGCAAAAGACTAAATTCAGTCCAAGGTTTTAAAAGCTAAATCAGGGTTGTCAGCTAGTCCAGAGGCCAGAATTTCTCAAGCAGAGTCCAATTGAACCTTGTGCAAGAGCCACCAGAGATCATATATTTGATTCCAATGAACCAATAATGGGTCAGGTCTGTCTCTTAAATCAGGTTTCAGCCAGCTGTCTTTAATCAAAGTTTTTCTCTCTTGCTTGGCAAGAAGCCTCATAGAACAGCTCTGCCCTGCTCTGCATTCTATTCACTGTATGGGGGGGCTAGGTGGTCCTAAAGTCATTGTCACTTGACTGCTCTATCTGGGGTGCTTGTGTTTGATTAACCTCAGATAATTCTTGGCTTTGTGACTCCTGGGGCTGAATTCTACAGGTTCTGCTGGAGCCTCTTCCTCAGCATCTGAGTCCGGGCTTTTAATAATATATATTACATTTATTTTAATGCTTAGAGCTGGTAAACCAGCTTCTACCTTCTACCGCATAACTCCCAACGACCGGTAAGATCCCACAGAGTTGGTCTCCTCCGGGTCCCGTCAGCTAAACAATGCCGGCTGGCAGGCCCACGGGGAAGAGCCTTCTCTGTGGCTGCCCCAGCTCTCTGGAACCAGTTACCTCCTGAGGTCCGGACCATCCCCACCCTATTGGCCTTCCAAAAAGCGGTGAAGACCTGGCTTTTCCGGCAGGCCTGGGGCCATTGATCTCGCTCTTGCGATCCGGCAAGATCCGACCATGAATGGTGTGAATGAGTTTTAATGTTTTTAATTTTTAAATGTTTTTTATAATGATTTTAAATGCATTGTGAGCTGCCCTGAGTCTTCAGAGAGGGGCGGCATACAAATTGAATGAATGAATGAATGAATGAATGAACGAACGAACAAACGAACAAACAAACAGAAATTGCCACCTGATATACCTCAAATATAAATTCAATAAATAAATAAATAGATTCTGTTTCCATTTTTTTCAACTATATCATAACCAATGTCAATGAAATATTGTGTGGCCTTTTTATTTACCACTAGGTGTCATGGTTTATGTTTACAACTAGACTTATCTTCTGTCATAGGTAATATCATAGGGCAGAAAAAGAAAAGGGAAAAAAAACCCTTAGTCCTGTGATTTGAAATATCAACAGTATTTTAAATAGCTAAAAAAATCTTCAAATAAGTTGGAACTAAAAAATTATTAGGGAATATTTTTCTCTTTGCCAAGTACTGACTTCAAGCATTAATCTGTTAACTTCAGCCAGCATGTTCAAGAAACTGTTGATAACTTAGATTTGTAAAGTTTTAAAAGGTTTTATTTCCTTTTTTGTTGTTGTTAGTTGCAAAGTCGTTTCCGCCCCATTGTGACCCCATGGACAACGTTCCTCCAGGCCTTCCTGTCCTCTACCATCCTCTTTTTTTTCTTTTCTTTTAGTTTATTATAATTGTTGTTGGCCTAAAACAGCTTTCATAATTCATGGAAAAATACTATTGTAATCTCATTGTATTGCTTTATGCTGCAATTCTAAACTATTGTATTTTTCAGAGTATAAGACGCACTTCCCCCACCCCCAAATGTTGGTGGAAATGTCTGTGCGTCTTATACACCGAATGTTGCCAAAGGCCCACCAGCCCCCACCCTTCGGCCGTTTTCTGCCTCCACGTGTTGCATTTTCAGCCTCTGCACACTCCATTTTAAACCCATTCCAGGCTGCGGGGATCACCACAGCACATCGCTGCCTCCATGCGTTGTGTTTTTGGCCTCTGCACATCGCATTTTGGGCTTCCGCACGCCCCGTTTTAGACCCGTTCCAGGCTGTGGGAATCGCCACAGCACATTGCCGCCTCCGTGCATTGCATTTTCGTCCAGTTCCAGGCGGCATGGATCGGCGATGTGCTGTGGCAATCCTGGAACGGGTCTAAAACGGAGTGTGCGGAGGCCAAAGACGCGATGCGCAGAGGCCAAAAATGTGATGCGCGGAGGCCAAAAATGCGACGCACGGAGGCAGCAATGGGCAGTGGCAATCCCTGCAGCCTGGAACAACTGATAGGCTGTATTCCGGAAGGCTGGTGCAACTGCCAATCAGTTGCTCTTGCTGAATCAGGCTGCAATCACATGCTGAAGTTGACCAGGCTGTTTGCTGTTTGCTGCAAGGATGCTAGCCAAATGAATACCGATGGATGCTGGTAGGCAGAGGCAGATTTTTTTTTTCTTGTTTTCCTCCCTAAAAACTAATGTGCGTCTTATACTCCGGAGCATCTAATATTCCGAAAAATACGGTAATTTGCTTAGAAGCAAGCCTTATTAAGTTCAGTAAGACTTATTCTCCTATAAACATATTTAGGATTGTAATCTTAATTGTGACTACAGTATGTTATTGAATATTCTTTTACTATTCTTCAGCCCATAACTGAATACTCTTAAAGTTATAGGTAATTAGAAATATTTTTGTGCTCTTAAATTTGGCAAGAAGTCCATTCTTCCTCAAAGATACTAAAGGAATATTGTTCTAGTTTGGCTTTCCTAGCTTAGCCCTATGCATATTAAATTATTTGATTTGATTATTTCAAATCTTTCTTTCAAAAGATTTCAGTTAAATTGCTCTTTGTGCTTGGTGAATTTTTTTCATGGTTTCTCAGATCCATCTATTTGCTCAGCAGGCAGAACTTACTAGGCCTGTGATGGCTGACCTTTTTGTCGTAGTGTGCCAAAAGTGGGGGTCGTGCTGGGGGGTTATGCGCATGCATGCCCACACCCATAATTCAATGACCCCCGTGCCCTCCCACTTTTGATACATGACGGCAAAAAGGTTACCAGTAAGCCCGTTTTTTTGCCCTCCCCAGGTTCCAGAGGCTTTCTTGAAGCCTGGGGAGGGCGAAAATGGCCTTCCCCACCCCTCCAGAGGCCCTCCAAAGGCTGGAAATGGTGCGTTTCCCGACTTCCGATGGGCTCGGAAGGCCCAAAAATCAGCTGGCTGGCGCGTGCATGCACGCTGGAGCTGAGCCAGGGCAACGCTCGCGTGCCCACAGATATGGCTCCGGGTGCCACCTGTGGCACACGTGCCTTAGGTTCGCCATCACAGTACTAGGCCCTTAACCATTTTCTTACTTGTAATCTTCATCCTCTTTAATTTATCATTATGATCTAAAAGAGCCATATAGAATGTTTATTTGAACCATAATAACTTCTATCCATGAAAATTGGTGTGCATAGAAATCTAATATACTCCTATTCACATATATATGCCAAGACATAGTTTTATTTATTTGGTTTTACTTAGGATGCATGGTGGCTCAGTGGCTTAAAAGATGCCGGAGAAACTCAGGTGGTTCGAGTCCTACCACTACATGACAGACTGAGCTCCCATCACTTGCCTCAGCTCCTGCCAGACTAGCAGTTCAAAAGCATGTAAATGCAAGTAGATAAATAGGTACCACTTTGGTGGGAGAGTAACAACACTCAGTGTTTTGCCACATGCTCTGAAAGCGTCTTTGGACAGTGCTAGCTTAGAAGGAGAGATGAGCACCATCCTCTAAAGTTGGCTACGACTAGCAGAGTAAAACCCACAGGGACTCCTTTACCTTAATTAGAATGCAATTTAATACAGTGGTGTTTATAACAAGTCATTTTGACACCACTGTGTCATATATGCGGTATCATTATTAAGCAAATGATGCAACTTATTATGCTTTGTAAAAAAGAAGAACATTGGACAAAGAAGAGACATCAGAGTTTGCGATGTCTGTAAATATTGTAGGACACCTCGAAATTCGTGCCAAGACTGAAAGTGGTGACTGAAAATTCAGGTCCTTTTAATTGGGGACCTAAAACTTTTGGTTAACCTCTGTATAATGATTATGTCCTGAATCATGCCTCAAATTTTCTCTTTGGACTTCTTTATAGGTACATGGTTTATACCGTACAACTGGAGCAAGTTTTGAGAAGGCCCAGCAAGAATTTGCAACGGGTGTGATGTCCAACAAAACTGTACAAACTGCTGCAGCAAATGCTGCCTCAACAGCAGCAACCAGTGCTGCTCAAAATGCTTTCAAGGGTAATCAAATATAGACAAAAGAGATGAAACACATTACAAATTTCTGGCTGTACTTTATTTTCCAGTCCCTAAAGACTTATGTTAAAAATCCACACAGCATGTATGTCTTATCAGCTGTGCATGGGCTAAGACAGAAAAAAAAAAGTTTATTTCATTCCTTTTAGAATTTTTTAATGAGAAGTTCTTCCTAGCTACACTACTAGCTTACAATAGTTACTTTTCTTCTCCATATTTTTTGGAGGTACGTGATATTTGATGAAAATTAGAACAGTAGCTTTAAAATTCATACAGCAAGTTTAGCTTCAATTTTGTTTTTCCATGGTGTGTATCACTCTCCGTGCAGCTGTTCCTCCTGACTTAAGACAAGCACTTTGAATTAACCCTGTTCATAACACTTTGCTTCCCTGTTTTCGTAAGAAACAAAAAGAAGCTGACAATTTTGAACATTAAATTTTGGCTGCTGCTTTGTAGCTCCAGCAGCTGATGAAGGACAGACGTAAGCTTAAAATAAGTATGATAGATAATGTAAATTCTTTTTTTAGGAGAATAGATTTTTTAATAATCTGAGTCTGCATGAAAGAATTTTGACCATGCTGCACTAGTGTTCTGGTCCAGAAATTGTCTATCAGTCCGGTTATAGTATTTGTTAAGATCTGTTTTCATGGTGTATATAGTGTTCTAATTAGATATCTTGGAGCACAGATGTCTTCATCCAAGTAATGCAACATAAAGTGAAAAGAATTATGTTTTAACTGAGGCAGAATTGTTATATTTGTTCTTTTTGATTTTACCATTCATAACTAGGAAGCACATATTTCTAAACAGAATCTGTTTAGCAATATTTAAAACACTAATAGGTAGTCCATTTTGACTTGTGTTAAATTGTAGTGGAATTTATTTTGTGCTTCAGAATTTTGACATTTTTAGAGTGTGCATTTGTGTTTAATGCTATTATATCTTTAGTCTTGTCAGTCACTCTGTTTAGTATGTGTATAAACATCTGAATATTCAATAACTTATTTAAAATTTTAACATTACTGTAGATCCTAATTGGGCTTCTAAACACTGATAATTATGTACTTGAATTCTTTTAGCATACTTCAGCCTTCATATGAGATTTAATCTGAATAAGTGCATTTTATTAAATGCAAATTGAAGATACACTTTATCATAATTAGTTTAGTGTGGTGCTATATGGCAGCTTTTTGTTATTTTAATTCTTTGTATTATTATAAGCTAAATTGCCTCTTCAGGTCACTTTTCCCTTTTGAGTTTCTAAATTCTAGGTGTTAATGTATAATAATTTGAAACATGCTATGGATTAATCATTTGAATGGTATTCCTTTTACATATTACACTGGCAAATTTGATTGTCCTGAATTCTGGCATAACATTTATTTGAAAAAAAATGGAATTCATCATGTTCTAAATTTTTCCACATGAAGTGTAAACATGCCTTATTTAACATGTTCAGTAGACTCTAGAATCCCAGGCTGTAATGTTTGGAGAGGACCTTAGACTGTATTTGATCTAGTCTTTCTCAGCCTTGGCAATTTTAAGATATGTGGACTTTGTGACTGGCTGGGAATTCTGTAGCATCCTAACAAATGGCTATCCTGGCTCTGAATATGCAGGGAAGAGTCCACCATTTCCCAAGGCAGTCTTGTTGCATTGTTGAATAGCTTTTGCTATTTTCCTTGATGTCTGACTGAACTTTGCTTCCTTGTAATCTGTATCCATTATTTCTTTTGTGTTTTGGAACAACTGATTAATCCTGGCCTGTTTTCTACATGACAGCCCTTCAGATACTTGAACACAAATATCATGTCTTTTCTCCTCCAGCCTTAACCTTGTGATCTACAAAAATACCCAGGTACAATATATACTCAATGTAAGCCTACCCACAAATAAGCTGACCTTGGAATTTTTAACCAAAATATCAACAAAAATGTTCTACCTAAGGATAAGCTGACCCACATTTTTCAAGAAGTTTTGGTCAAAAACTCTCAAGGTCGGCGTAGGCATGAATGGCTTATGTATGAGTGTATATAGGGATATATAGGTACTCACAGATAAACTCAACCATGGATAAGCCAAAATCAATTTTGGGGTGTATATTGGTACCTAAAATTCTTGACTTGTCCACAAGTATATGTGGTAGGTTTCACATATACTGCCCAGTATTGCATCTCCATTTCTATCTTTCATATTTTCCCTAAACAATCATAGGACTTAGTTTCAGTTACTGAAATTAGTGGCTTTACTCATTGCTGTAGCCTAGTCAAGGTCCTGCTGAATCTTGGTACTGTTTTCCAAGATGTGCACTCTCCCACTCAATGTTATTAGTTTCCACAAGTTGTCATTGTAGCTTTATGTTATCATCTAGCCCTTTATCTAAGTCATCTATAAATATGTTGAACAGCATAGGACCCAGAAAAGGTCTAGGGACTTCCACTCAGCACTTCCAGTTTGACACAGACATTAGGTATAATTGTTCAGTGAACTTTGTATCTATCTATAGATAGCATAGGTGAACTTTTGCCATCTGTGCTAGACTCTCACGGGGACATTTTCTTGAATGCTGTGCTAAAGGCATGGTGTGTTGTGTGCAAGTAAATTGATCATTATCAGAAAGAGGCACTGGGTTAGGTTGGCATGATTTATTATTAATAAATGATTTATTATTAATAAATCATGCTGGTCCCTGCCCAGCAATGTACTTTTCCTAAATGCTCACAAAATGTTTGTAAACCCATTGCTTAATTATTCTAGATCAACATCAAACTGACCCATACTTTTTGGGGGGTGGGGGGTGGAGACAAGAATAATATTTAGAAGGGAATGTTTATATCTCATAGGGGGCGCAATAGCTCAACATCTAAAGATGCAGAGCTTGTCAGCTGGAAAGCTGACAGCCCAGAATTGAGACCTGAGTGCCGTGCGTGGGGGGTGAGCTCCCATTCCTTGCCCAAGCTCCTCCCCACCTAGCAGTTTGAAAGCATGCAAATGTGAGCAGATTAATAGATACCACTTCAGTGGGAAAGTAGCAGTGTTCGATGCATATAGCCATGCCACATGACCACAAAAAATGTCTTTGGACAATGCTGGATCCCTTGGCCAAGAAACACAGATGAGCACTGTGCCCTAGAGTTGGACACAACTGGACAGGGGAAACTTTTACCTTTTGTATCTCAGAGTTAAACTGTGGTGTCCTTGGTGCTCTCTGAACTTGATTGTTTTCTTACGGACATTTCATCACCAAACTAAGTAACATCCTCAGTGCTAGAAGGGAATGGGGTTTCCTCACTAGCAATCAATACCCATATGAGCAGAGATTAACACCAGATCAGCTATCAAGAAATAAACAATACTCAAATCAAGGATCATCACTGAAGACAAACTAACAGTTTCTCCTAATCAAGAAATCACCAAGCCCGCTCACACCAACACTGAGAGCAAACCCTACTCCCTCCTGACACTGATGATGTTACTTTGTCTGGTAACGGATGTCTGCAAGAAAATCACCAAGTTCAGAGAGCACAAAGGACCCCACATGAATAATATTTGCCCTTCTCCAACCCTGTGGTTCCATGCCCGTCGTCCATGATTTCTTAAAGATCATAAAGGCTCCTAAATAACATTTGCAGGCTCCTTCAGGACTCTTGAATGTAATTGGTCACACTCTGGAGACAAATCCATTCTTGGAAGCCAGGTGCTTCCTAGACTTTTAGTTATCTTGGATTACTATTCCCTTTTGTTAGTAGTTCTTAGGTCCCTTTGTATATATAGTTTCTCTTTGGGAAGAAGGCTGAATAGAAGTTCAGCAGCTCTGCTATCTCCCCTTCAATCCTACTATCTTCTCACAGGGTTTCCTCTAACTCCTTTTTCTTTTCTTTTTTTACTACTGCAACAGGAATAACAATTACTATTACTGAAAGTAAGAAATACTGAAAAATATAGGCAATATACTGGAAATATATACTGGAAATATAGGAATTAAATTCTATGAACAGTTTTAATCTAAAGATATGGACTTCTTTACTTTTTTCTTTACTTTTACTTACTTACTAATGTTTATATCCCATCCATCTCCAGAGACTTCAGGCAGTTAACACCATATAAAAATTTACAGAATTATTGAAGTAGATGTTTATTTCTTTTTCATGTATTTATTTCAATCCTTGATCCTACAAACCTAACACATGGCCACTTTAATTGCTAATCATTTAAATCTTATTGAGGAAACTGTATTCACACTTATTAAAGAATCTAATTTTTCTCAGGGGATAAAGCAGATTGAAACTTGAAATACATAAATGTGGGCCTAATTTGCAGTAGGTCTGATAGTCATGTTAGTTCCAGCAGGTAGAACACATGTTGATTGTAATGTCCATTTTCATTCTTATAAACCATAATAAAGAAAATCGGCACACATGGACACATAATGACATTCTTCTTCAGGATTAAATCAAAAGTAGTGGAGTGAATATACATATTATTCACAATTCCTTATTGTTCACTATGGCAGAAGGCTGTTGTATGTTAAATATTTAACAAACGAATGCTATCAAAGTCTGTTGGTGAACAAGTCTACACCTATTACTACACTAATTTTGTAAACACCCAGTTGTAATGGTTTTTAGATCATACTAGAATGTCAATAGTTTGTCATTTCTAATTTTGGCATTGGAGATATTTAGGTGAGGAAAGTCTGTATATTTTGTAAATTACTAGTGATGCTTTGCCATCCTTGTGAATGTGACAATTCTGTATAAATGCACACAGATTCTGTGATACTGCATGTCTGGGTAGTTCTGCATATTTATTGTATTATTTCAATGACATAGAATAAAATGTTTCCCGATTGTTTGCTCTGTATAGTTTAAAAAATAAAGTAGGGTCTTTTGTAAAATGCAAGATAAAATACCAAAAGGTTAATATGTACAGAGAACACCAGGTTTTTGTCCCGGTTCAGCTCTAGTCTTGTGTAGTTACCTGGAGGCAGAATGTGGATGAGGATTTATTTGGAGCATTGTGATGTGGATCAACATCGGTAGCATTCCACATTTTATTCTGGCATTATTAGTCACCTGTAACTATGCACAACTAATGCTGGATCAGGGAGTTGGGTTTTTTTGTATTATGTATATAAATTCTACAGTCTGCAACCATGGCAAAACTATGTCTGTTTGCAGAACAACTCATTGAAAGAACAATCAAAAGCTGGGCTTCATTTTCAAGGAAATAGTTGATTGTGTTTTATTTCTGTGATGTAAATGGGAAATTTAAAAAGGAAAATTATTGAAATTTATGCAATTGATAGGTGTTATTAGAGGAAGTCTTGGAAGTAAAATGGAACCTTTGAAAACGCATACTATTTCCTAGTATTTGTTTTGAATCGAGGGGTGTTGAATGTTATTTTTGTTACACTTGTGATTGGCCACTTTACTGTTAGTCCTTTGTATAGCAAAGAAGTTACTTATAATGGCCACAACATAGAGCCTATCATTTGCTCTTTAATACATTACTGGGGTCTTTTTCTTTTGTTTTCCCTTCTCAAAGGTTCTTCTGAGCCATGTAGGAAAGAAAATGTCATCAGATAATTCCTCTTTTTAAGTATCTAAAAGTTCTCTTCACTGTGGAAAATCATTTTTTTTTTTTATTGGGTGAATGTCTGATACTTGTAACTAAACTTTTTATTTGTCTGCTACAGTAACATTAAGAACATTCCCAAAACATTATAATCTTATGTCATTATAAATGGAGGATATGCAGTTCGGTTGATTGATGTTAAGTATTTACATGGCAAGAATCGGGAAACTATCTAGAACTCATGTTCTAGTAGAAGCAGACTATGTTTTTACTTGATAATACTATATATGTTAAAAATACCTGTAATACCAGTATGTTTTTGAGTAAGGTACTATGACAAATACCTTAGGATTCAGCAGTCTTTTTCTTTTTTAAAAAAATAAGGAAATGCTATTCTGTACTCAATGTATCAGTGCAGGAAAACAAAGATTGGGCATTTTTACAAAACACTTAACTGTTATAGTTAATCATCCATTGGGTTATAGAAATTGCTCATTAGCATGTATGCCATTGCAAAAGGCAAATAAATGAACTATAGTCCATAAAAGCTTATGCAGTAATAAAACTTAACCATTAAGGTGCCATTAGACTGTTCTTCCTATAAGCAATTAGTGTTTCCCCTGGAAACAAGAATTGCTGATCTGTTTACAGTTGGAGTAAACTGTGCAAATCAGTAATGGCAGATGAATTCCCTTTTCATTGCTTGTTGTATAAATTTGTAGCTATACATGGCCAATAAGAAGTCAATGAAAAACATACTCCATTTTGTGATGTTCAATTCATTTTTTTTAAAGCAAGTATTTATAGCTTGCAAAGTGACATTAAAAATGTAAAATGTAATTTTCAGTAGAGTACATTAAGGCTCCTAGGCTGTGTTGTAATACTGTAAGTTTCTTTCAGGGTTTCTAGAATAGTTCTAAATAATAGCTTGTTTCATTTTCAGTGTTTAATGAAAACTTTTTAAAGTGCTTTTTTAGAATAAATGTATTTCATGTATTGAGTTCCTTTGATTATCAAAATGCAATGGAAATTATTTAATTATTGCACTTACTGGCTTCTCTTCTATATAATAATTGACCACAAACTTCCTGTATTGATGCAGAGTTTGCATTTCACTGGAAATCATAGAAAACGTGACCTAAGAAGTAAAAGTATTTTAGGAAGCAAGATTCCAAGGGTATATAAGATTATGTCATAGTAGTAATTAGCTTCATGTGAATACTGCATCATAAAAGGAATAACAAGGTATATTCGTTGGTCATTTGTATATAATTTATGAAGAGAAAGATTAGAGAACTGGTAGAGTCATTCTACAATCTTTCTTTTGTCTTCTAGCATGTAGCATTTAAAAAGAGGTGAATCCGTTATAGTTATTTACCCAATTTTTTGATAGACAGTTGTAACTTTTTATGAAATTTACACTGTCCAGTTGTTTCTGTTTGATTCTAACAGACCTTTATGGGTTGTATTTGCCCACAAAACCAACCTTCTAATGAATTCTGGCTTAGCATGACCAAATAGCACAGCAGTGATCCTCCTGATGATATGCTGGAGATGGTGTGTGCACCAGCTGTCAGAGAAAGAAAATGACTGAACAAAGAATTGCCTGATTGTTGGCTTCAAATGGCTTCTTGTTTGGAAGAAAGAAATCTAGTATCCTGGTTAGCTCATCACATATCATGAAAGAATCTTTTGTGGACCAAGTCTGGCACAGTGCAAATACAACCCTTTCTTTTTGTACTCAGAAACTAATTAAATTTAAATTTGCCCCTTTTTTTTTACAGATTGCCTGATTCAGGCACCTTTCAGAACATTGTATTACTACCATACTAATGTAACAAAATCAGAAATAAATTGACACAAACATTCAGGGGTTAATTATGGTTTATTAAACAAAAGAATTACTAATATTGTAGAAAATTAAATTAGCAATGCAGCCCAACAGCACACTGTAGCTCATCAACTGACTTTTTACTGTTGTCTCTTTAATGTTGATCAATTCGTAAGTTTCTAAATATGTGAATACTTTTCACATTGAGACAGTATGCTATAAATGAGTAAGCTTGGAATAACCAGATTTCAAAAGATTTGGAAATATCTTATTACAATACAGTAAAGTTTTGATTTAACAGACCTGAGTGCAATAGACTTCAGATGCTATGGATAAAATTGCCATTATATACCTATGTTACTTTTATATCATTTGCTTAATAAGGTTACACAAATGATGTATTATAATGCAAAATATGTGCAATTTATATCTTTGCATAATGTCACCACAGATTATATATTCTAATTTAATGGACAATTAGGAATAACAGACATCCCTTCCCCCCAGTTGGACTGTTAAATCAAGGTTTCACTGTATTTTTAACATCCTTTTTTTTCCCCCACAGAAAGATTTTATAGTGATGGTTAAATAATATTGCAGTAACTTTCCTTTTCCACAAAGATATGCCACTGGACTCTTTCAAATTGGTTTTAAAGTCTTTACTGCGTATTATACATATTATAAATTGAATTTATTATTATCTGAAAATTGCAACAGAAGATAACACAATAAATGTTATAAAATGATTTATCCACAGTGTTTTATTTTGAGCTGTCTGAACACAGGTTTAATCACCAACCATTTCTTGATTTAAAGTAATATGTATTAAAAAGAAGTCATATGTGCCATTGTGTGAAGTTAATATAGTACTCTGTAAAATATATTTAATTTTAAAAAAATTAAAAAAGAGACACTCAAAAGATTTCTTAAACCACACATTTTTGCTTGTTGGGAATATAGTGGCCTAAGTATTTAAATACAGAAGGCATGTGGGATGTTGCATATAAGCCTGAAGTTGTGATACTGAATATTCAACTGATAAAATTGTGCCATATATTTCCCCAGAAATATCACTTCCAATTTACAGACTATGCAGTAATACAAAAACATTGTTACTCCAGCTATCAGAAATACAATACCATATTGTAGAACTTGCACATGCTATATCAATTGTTGTCAAGCTACTGTACCTGGACCGTAAAAACCTGGAAGGTCACGGAAATGGCAGGTTTTCTGCATCTATCATCTGACATCTGTGGTTGCCTTTATAGCTCCAACCTGGTAGCCCTATTTGTTCAAATGTTTATGAATATTACAAGTGCTAGCATCCTTCTCAAAAAGGAGACCAATGCAAGGAGTTGTGATTCTCCAACATTAAGAGGTCTGCAAGCTGCAGAACTTTTGCAGAGGAAATTTTATTAAGGTTATAACTACTATAATTTGCTAAGTGTTCCAAAAAAAAAAAGAATAAAGTTAATGCATTGGAATTAGAAAAATAAAAGTGAATTTTCCTTACTTACCTCTCACCCCACTGCCCACCTGCTTGCTTCTACCTGGTTTCCCTTCCTTTTTATTCCTGCCTCATAACACCAGGGACCCTGAAACTCAGAAGCTTCAGGGAGGCTGATGATTAGAGACACAGAAGTGTACAGTAAACTATTAGCAATCCCATCTTTTTATATAATTATAAAGGTCTTTCTAATGAAATAAGGGTTCACTTTTATTGTAATGTTTTCCTAATAAAATGGATTACAATGTATTGGGATATTATCACTCAACAAAAACAATAGGTTTAGATCTGGAAAAGTGACACATACGGTTGACTTAAATAATCAAATGTATGAGATTAAATTCTGAAGATAGTTTACAGATAATGCATATGTCCCATAGACATCACCCTATATTATTTTCCCTTATACAATACTGGATGACTGTATAAAATAATGTTTGCTTATACGAAGCCTGCTCTCTTCTATTGGAACTTATTTTTTATTTAAATTTGCTGAACAATCAATGAATATACTGGAGTGATTTTTTAATCAATTAAATGTTGGAGAACTAGAATGCATTGTATGAAATCAGTACACAGATTTTGAACCTGGATTGGAAAAAGAAATTGGAGATGCTTGAAGAGAAGTATGCAAAGTAATGTTTTGTTGGGATTAGTACCTTTTCTTTAAAAAAATAAATGTTCTGTATAATCTGAAGTTATCACTTCTGCTATTGTCTTGTAAAAGCTGTTTGTTCAAAATATCTGATAAATTTTCTTTGATGCCAATTCAAAGAAGGAAATATGAGAATACTGTCCCAGATTTTAATTTTTAAAATGTGCTGTAAAACTGCTGAACTGTTTCAAACTTTTCTGTTCAAAAATCATGTTGAGATTGTGCAAGAGCAAAATAGAAAGGCAATGAGTATGAAAAATGTAAAAAAAAATATTTTCATATCAGGAGGCCAATATTTATTCTCCTTTAACTGCTATTCTCAACTAATTTCCAAAGTGCCTTTTCAGAATGCAGAACTTTAAAACACTGAAGAGCTGGTTATGCATTTTTAATTAAGAGAGCCTTGTTACCAATGATGTGCATGTTTAGACAGAAGTATTTGTACACTTGATCTTAGTCACAGTAATTACAGATAGTCCTTGACTAATGACCATTCATTTGGTGACTGTTCAAAGTTATGGCAGCACTGGACAAGGAGACTTACTACCTCATAGTTGTGGCTGTGGCATTAACCATGAGGTCACATTTGTGATTTAGGCACTTGTCACCCAGCTTGCAATTACTTTGGTTGCAGAGTCTCACGGTCATGTGGTTGCCATTTGTGACCTTCATTGCCAGCTCCCAACAAGCAGAGTCAACAGAGAAGCCGGCAGGAGGTGGCAAATGGCGATCCCACGACATTGTGCTTAACTGTGCAGGATTTGCTTATTGACGGCAACTGGAACTGCTGCAATTGATGTTGTAAAATGGTGTGGTCATGTGACATTTACACTTTATGTCCACATCACTTAGTGACAGAGTTGCCAATCCCAATTATCATAGTTAAACAAGGATTACTCATGTAACAACATTCATGTGGGGGCAGTATCAAATTAAATTTTACTCTATAAAACATGGTACATTTGTACTTCCAAATGTATGTATGTGAATAGTCCTGTATTAATGACACTAAAAAGTACTCTAACTTGAAATATTTGATTCTAGTCCAATCTTAGTAATTTCTACAACACAAAAATGTTACAGTACCCAAGTGAAAATAAATTGCATATTACTCCAGCATAGATATTTCTTGTGCGATTTTATACTAGAACTTCAAGCAAAATTTTATTAGAGTTAACTCTAGCCCAGCCACCAACCCTGTTTTGGATTGCTGATGAGTGAGGATTTCTCAAGCACCTGGTCGTAAAAAGTATCAGGCCACAATTTGGCTTATATCATTTTACGCTTGAAACTAGGAAAGTTAATCTGCCAGAATAGGTACGGTTGTTTTGGACCCATACTGGGTCCATGCTTATTACCATACTTTATAATCAGATTGCAGATCAGTCCGCATAATTCTTTAGTAAATTTCAATATTCACTATTTTAAATGTGAACAGTTCAGTCTCCTTTTCATGGTTGTATCGTGAGAACAACATGTTCTGACCAAGGGGTATTATGACAGCAATTCTGCAAAAGCAATTTGGGTTCGATTAAGCCCTCACGAAGTGTGTTGGTGTTCAATGAATTAACAAGGTTGTAAAACGTACATGTACACAGTCAATTCACAAACGCCTCCTTGGAATACTTATAGCAGTGGTTAAAGAAGTGGCTATTCACAAAAATCCTGAGTTAGATAGTACAGTACATTCCTCTGCACTGGAGATTCAAAATTTAATTTTAAAAGATATGCTAGAAATAAGTTACTATTCAGAGTTTGATGTGTTATTTCATCCTGGCAACTTAAACTACAATGTATTATTTCTGTCTATCAAAAGATACATTAAATACCAGTGTTAATAAGGCTAATCTAAAAATTGAGGATCTGAACATTAGGCATTAGGTCTCCCATCATTTCTCTTTCTACAGCCATCACTACAGTGCAGTACATTACGTTCTCGGAACATTTTTACATATTTGACTAATGCAAAAGGCTCATTTTTGAAAAAAAAAATTATCAATACACTTATCTTATAGATGCAACTAAAAAAGTCCCAAAAGCATTCAGTAACATGTGGTCACAATTTAGGCACGTGGTATCTGTTGTTAGATGAGCACAATGACCATTTGTGCTTGAAATGGACTTGAAGGCAACTGATGGTACTCGGAAATGACCAGTAGTGATCTTGGTTACAACTGGACCAATAGCAGAGGATGCCTATACCTTCTTTTGAAGACAAATATTGAGTTCAGTATCATATACAACAGTCTAAACTTTCCCCATAGCTATACATATCTACCCAGATTAATTAATCAAATAATGGAACTATGTGTAATGAAAATAAAAGTAATTTAGCTTATATTTTCAAAGCTATCCTCATAAATTGTTATAGTTCCATGCCTCAGGTATGTATTGAACAATGTGTTTAAAGTATTGCTTAAAGAAAATTGTTTTCACTAGTTTCAACTGGAAGCCTTGCTTCTTTATTAAGACATATTCTTTCTATGTGCCACTGCATACAACCCAGAATACTATGTGTTTTTAATATTCATGACCTGCTTTCTGAACAGATGCTATGGAGTAATTTAATAGTGTAGTGCTTGCCATTTTGACACCGGAGCCTGATTATGTTGTCTTAAAATGTATGTACTGAAAACAACCTGAATTATTTCAAGTTATTCTTCAAAAAAAAAATCCTTCATAATCATTCATCTTGGTGAAGACAAAATTGAAATAATTGTTTCCAGAAAAATTGGAAAGCCAACAGGTTTGCTTTGTGGCATTCCTTCATATTCATGCGTCAGAATTCTCACTACTTCACATTTTTTAATACTGTCTGTAGACTTCAGTGCCTTTCAACCTTCTATGATGTTGGACTATCGGAACACTTACATGTCTTCATTCTTCCTATAAGAGTCCAAGTAGCTACTTGAAATCCATTATTTTTGAGATAAGATTTTTTTTTTTGGAGAAGAGTGTGTTTGTTATAGGAGGCAAATCAGACTTTTCCCCTCTTCAATTTCCTCTTGGACTTTGTCGCTGGAGGTGGCGATTTCGGCTTGGGCAGAGAAGACTGCGCAGATGAACGTCAGGACTGTGCCACCAATAGCAGTGTAGAAAGCCCAGCCTAAAGAACAGTCACCAAGTTTATAAGCTGAAGCATAAGGTCCACAATAGCTTGTTGCCTTCTGACAACCCCAGCCAGCAGGGTATAAGATCAGTCCTAGGATAAGGAATAGTCCTATTTAAAAGAAAGAAAGAAAGGTCAGACAAAAGTGCAATAAAGTTAGGCACAAAACTAATTTTCATAGGAATGTACATTCTGATACAAGCTGAAATTTCTGATGGCTGCTGCTGAATGTTATGACTTGGCCTGTAATCTATAAACTGGTGGACCATATTTTTGTCCACACTGTTAATTGCTGAGTTCATGGTGATGAATATGAATGGAGCACTTTAGCAAGGGGAAAAGATGTTGCAACAATGAAGGCTGAATTCAGAACTTAGGAATTTAGGAAAGAAAGCGCCATCAGTTTAAAAGCTCATTCAGATATAGAAAGCTCATAGTTTTGAGTACTATATTTTTTGTTGACATCTAGTGGCCATCTGTATTTTTTGCTGCCTAAAATGCTAACCCTAACTAAAGTTATTTCACACTGGGAGAAATGGTCTATTATTCTAACTTCTATGTGAAATTAATAGTGATATGCATGCATCAAGGATGATTCACCAACAGTTGGGACCTCATGCATGTGCAGGCCCTGCTTGCTATGCATTAAAGCAGCCCAACTTTTTTCAGTCCTGTGTGACCCAGAAAAAAAAGATGGTGCTGGTTTAAGGACCACAATACCTTTAATGAGTGGACTCCTTAACTCGGTGGCATTTCTTTATGGATGATCTGAAGCAATTCTTCCAGGCCATTCTCAAAATATTCACAGTTTATTTATTTATTTTTATTTTTATTTGATTTATATGCCGCCCTTCTCCGGAGACTCAGGGCGGCTTACAATGCGCTAAGCAATAGCCTTCATTCTTTTGTATATTTATACAAAGTCAGCTTATTGCCCCCACAAACTGGGTCCTCAATTTACCTACCTTAGAAAGGATGGAAGGCTGAGTCAACCTTGAGCCTGGCGAGATTCGAACCTGCAATAATTGCAGGCAGCTGGTCTTAATGACAGGGTGCTTTAGACCACTGTACTACCAAGGCTAGTACAGACTGTAATAATATTCTACAAACTAATTCAAAATCCACATTGTGGATTGTAATACTGTGCCTTAACTACAGTATTAAATGTACATTTGCTTTCTAAAAGTCTGACATTTTCATCAAGTTCAAATCTACTAAGTACTTAAACCAAGAACTAATTTGTCATTTAAAACAAAAGTTCATATGTTCTTCCAGTTATTGGTATATAGCATCAGCCACCTAGGAGAATAAGACAAAACATTTAAAAGCCATGGATTATTTGTAACTTCTTGTGTTATTGCTTACTGGAATCCATATATGACTGACTCTTATCTTGACTGTAGCACTTTCTCTATGGAATTTGGGAGTTGGGTAGCATTTCCTGTCAGAATGCCTGAGCCAATGGACATATAAAATATTGCTTAAGGTTAGGCAGACAGAGATAAATTGAGCTTTCATCCTACTGAGCCCACCAACTCTGACAGACTAAACACCCCAAATCCCCTTCTTTATATCATCACAAGTTCTTTTGTCAACAAGACCTGCGGCATAATTCTTTTGACTGGAGGTTCTACTGTTTCTACAGCCACAACTGAAAGGCAGTTTGAAAATTACTGAGTTTTGTCCAAAGTGTCCAAATAAAATTTTAGACATTTCCTTTAAAAATAAATGTAGTTTATTTGCACAAAGGTGGTTTCATATATTGCAAAAAAGCATAATGAAATTTACATAGCAGACAGCTTGACTTTATATTGATTTTTATTGTCATGGCTTTCCTGAAAGGATTGGTTGCTGGAACTGAATTTTGTTGCTTTCCCTCCCATTTTTCAGTACAGAAGAAACAATCATTAACCCTGCATTGGTTCTGGCCTATTGCTGAGTTGTTTGTGATGCGTGGCAGCACTGGATCTCTGCAATACAGGGTTTATTAGTTGTGGGAATAGCAAACAGTCATTTATGACTATACTGCTTTGCTCCCGAAGAAATCAAGATTTGTTTTTAAAGGGAAATAAGAGAAGCATGAAGTTCTCCTTTTTATATATATATGGTCTTAACCAGTAGAGCAGAGGTCCCCAATCTTTCTGGCTCTGCAGACTGGCAGTGGTGACGGGATGGTTTTACATGCTTGCTCATGGCTTATGCAAATGGAGGTTTGCACGCTCACCCACTTGCGCAGCTCGGTTTGCAACAGGCCACTGACTACTGGTCCATGGACTGGGAGTTAGGAGCCCCTGCTTTGGAAGGTTTGGCAAACGTGGTCTAGTGCAATAGCAATAGCACTTAGACTTATATACCGTTTCATAGTGCTTTATAGCCCTCTCTAAGTGGTTTACAGAGTCAGCGTATTTCCCCCAACAATTTGGGTCCTCTGAAGGATGGAAGACTGAGTCAACCTTGAGCCAGTCAGGATTGAACTCCTGGCGTGAGTAGTGAGTTAGCCTGCAGTACTGCATTCTAACCACTGTGCCACCACGGCTCTTCTTTAGCTATTAGGCAAAATTGATGTACTTCCCAAATACTGCTTCCAACTTCAGTGCAATTTTATGTTCATTTATTTAAAAATGAACAATATGGTTACAGTTATGGGAGAAGGACTCCAATTTTCGGAACTGTTCCCTTTTGTTTTCAATAAAGACACTGAATTTTTTTCTCTACTTCAATAGAGACTGAAATACAGAGCACATGAGCACATGTGACTCCCTCTCTCTGTAGAAACTCTGTGTGCAAATAGACCCAGATTTTAGCTTTTTCCATCATGGGGACATAACTGTATAAGGTTTAAAAGATCCTGGAAACTACGAAACTTTAAAAAAGTGGCAATGGAGAAAAAAAATACAATGAATTGCACTGCAAAGACTATGAATTGCATTCCCTTTGCCGAAATTGAGCCTAGCTACCTGAAAAAGCTGCACAAACATTTTTTATACTTAGACTGAAAGTAATTTTTGCCAATGACAATCATGATTCTATTAAAATGCCAACATTTTTCAGGGTTCCAATATACTAAAAATAAAAAAAATTAAAAAAAAAAGAGCAACCTCTTGGCAACCTATGAGTGCAGCACAATAATTCTTACAAAATGTTTATGTTGAATTGATCACTTGGGACTTGATCATACTTGGACTTGGTCTTCATGAAAAACAACTAAGCATTTATAGAATGGTAGCTGAAGGGGAGGGTAGTGCACGGTGGTGGGTTGCTCCTGGTTCGCACGGGTTCGCAAGAACCGGTAGTAAAAATTTGTAGTACTTCCGAGAACCTTTAATAACATTGGCTGGCCACGCCCCCCCCCCCCGGCCCCTCCCCCGCCCGCCCCCCGCTCACCCCGCCCACCTCATCAGAGGCTTTTTTTTAAAACTTTTAAAAGCATTTTTTCTACAATCTCTTTGGCAGAAAAAATGCTTCTAAAAGTAAAAAAAAAAGCCTCTGATGATTCCACGGCTCAGCTGGAAACATCAGAGGCTTTTCAAAGCATTTTTTCTACAACCTCTTCAGCCGAAGAGGTAAAAAAAATGCTTTGAAAAGCCTCTGACGATCCCAGCTGAGTTGCCTGATCGGCAGAGGCTTTTCAAAGCATTGTTTTCTGCAACCTCTTCAGCCGAAGAGGTGGTTAAAAAAATGCTTTGAAAAGCCTCTGACGATCTCAGCTGAGTTGCCTGATCGGCAGAGGCTTTTCAAAGCATTGTTTTCTGCAACCTCTTAAGGTTGTAGAAAAAATGCTTTTAAAAGTAAAAAAAAAAAAAGTTGGCCACGCCCACTCAGTCACATTACCCCCTCACTAAGCCACACCCACAAAATAAGCCACGCCCACAGAACCGGTAGTAAAAAATTTTTAGAACCCACCCCTGGTAGTGCAGATATGATGGCCATGAATCCTTCAATCTTGTGCAAGTCCAGGCTACTGCCTCTGATAATACTTTGGTTTCTATGCATTCTTATTCCATATCCAGATAATCTGGAACTGTTATTCTAAATTAAAATGTATTGGACTTATATAAAGCTATTTTGCCTTCCCTGCAGACTGAGACTTATATTTTGCTTCAGTTATCATTAATTCAGCATTTTATCGCTATGGTACAGGTTAAGTGGTTTACATTTATTGAACTATCTAATAAATATTATCAAAGAACAAAGGCTATTTTGTGCCATATAGTATGGGATTTGCATCAATCCATCCACAAACCAAAATTTGTAATTAACAGAACTAATTAAAGACAAAATGTAAAGTTTATTTTGTCTCTTCATTTATATCCAGGACTTATTATTTTTTCTCCGAAGGATTTAGTATTATAAATTATTCAGCATTTCAAAAATTGTACTTTCCCATATTTAACAACCTTGTGTCTTCCACATTCAGGAAGTGAAGGAAATGATTCATTGCCATCCAAAAAGTAAATTCTCAATTATTCTTCCTGTCTTTAAAATAACCAAGAAATACCTAATTTGGGACCCAACCTGTTTTTATGTGTCATCCTTAATGACTGGAAAAGAAGTACTATTTACTATACTAAAGACAATGAACATAAATCATGAAACTCTCTTAAGTTATTAAACCCAAGATAACTCAAAGAATGAAATTCTACATAAAGGATGTGCTTGTGTTGTAAATTTTCTAACTACAACTGATCAGGAAAAGAAATGGAAAGCCTTGTATTTTTAAATGGACATGAATTAGATGGTGAGGTTAAGTATTATGCCCATCATAGTTATGAAATAATTTTACTTATTCCTGAATGGAGTTCTAGGAATGTAACAAGGATTAAGAAAACTATATTGGACTGGATTAAAAAGTCCAAATGCATAGGATTGTATGCCTATAGTAACCCTTTCAACCATTTTCAGAAGAGCAGTTACTGTAATTTATTTGATTTGCTGTCCGAACACTGAGGTACTATTTATTAGATCTACCTAAGAGCCACTGAATGTAAGAAACAACTAAAAGTTAAACAAAAAAGGAATCTTCGTTAAGCAGGTTTAGCAGTAACAGCTATTCCCACACAGTACCATTCTAAAAAAACGGCCATGCACTATGTTTGAGCAATGCCAGAACA